AGTCCTACTCATTGCCTTCTCGTGGCGAAGGTGTTGTTTACGAAAATGAGAGGACGAAAAGCGAACGTCCGGCGCTTTAACCGGATTCCAAATCAATGGTGCACATGGGCTCCAGTATCCTGCGGGAACAAATGGCGTATGAACCAATTGTTGGTCACCGGCTACCATGAAACTGCATCTCCTTACGATGCTCCACTGCCTTGTGGATCACACATTCAGGTCGAAGGCTCCAGGTGTGGCCCTCTAAGAAAACCACCTGCTTCGGTTTGGGCACCCGGGCAGTATCACAGCCCACACACAAATTGATGAACTCTTCATGCCTATGGAAATTACCTTTCTCGCTTTGAAAAACAAACAATTGATTCAGATTACTATCATTAAAATTATTGTCATTATTAATACTAATATTATTATTACTACTATTATTGTCATTATTGTTATTATTATCATTATTATTATTATTATTTTCCACATTATTCACCCTCTTTTATACTTATACAGCGGCTCGTCTTTGGTGGAAATCCGACTGTATCTAAACGTTCTCGAGTCACTGTCCGGTTGAAAATTGTATGTTACCACCGAATACGAGGACTGAAGCAGATTTTCTGAAACCACGTGCACCATTCAAACTGGCTGCCTTCAACGTTCGCACATTTATGCAGGTCGGACAACAGATAGGGCTGGCTATGTCTTTGGAAAGTCTTAATATCGACGTGTGTTGTCTATCCGAGACCCGTACTCAAGACTCTGGCGAAGTACTACAAATTCGATCTCCATCTGTCGCTTCGAAAAGCTTGTTTTACGTGCGCTTATCCAGGGACCCTGTGGCATCTTCGTCTGGTCTTGCTGGCGTTGGTGTCGCACTAAGCGCTAGAGCTGAGGCAGCACTAATCGATTAGATTCCCATTAACAGTCGGTTATGTGCTGTTAGATTAAAGAGTTCCATCAAAGTGAGAAGAAATCGGCGTGAGAAACGATGCCTTTTCGTCATCTCCACCTATGCCCCGACAGATTGCAGCCCGGATGCAATCAAGGATGAGTTTTACCACCAGTTATCAGTTCTTCTCCAGAAAGTGCGTTCGACAGATATTGTAGTACTAGCCGGAGACTTGAATGCTCAGGTCGGGCGTCTAGGCACAGAAGAGAGTCGTTTAGGTGGCCGATGGGGACTCGTTGGTCGCAGGTCAGATAACGGGGACCGTCTACTGCAACTTTGCACAGACCACAACATGTTTCTGGCTAGCACTAACTTTCGGCACAGTCATCGCCGATGTGCCACCTGGCGTCCTCCCTCTGCATCTCAAGCCTGGACTCAGATTGATCACATCGTGATCAGCTACCGCTGGCGTGGTTGTGTACAAGACTGCCGCTCCTTTTGGAGTACCTATCTGGACTCTGATCATGCCTTGGTCTGCGCCAATCTTGCCTTACTTTTCAGTGGACAACGAAGTGGACGCCATCAACGGATTGATGTTAGCAAGCTGGTTGCAACTTCTGTTGCAAGTAAGTATCGAACCGAGCTAGCCTCTAGGCTAGCTACCACTCCACCGAAAAGTATAGATGAGCATTGGTTGCAATTGCATGACGCCATGAAAATGGCGGGAACAGTCAGTTGTGGGTTTGCGAAACGTCCCGCTTTTAAGCACTGGGTTTCTTCTGGTTCCTTACAACTCATTGAAGCCCGTCGGTCTACTCCGGGTGACCGTGAGTTTGACCATAAACGAAGGAAGTTACGTGAGGAAATTGGGCAAAGCTTGCGCAAGGACCGAGAAGCCTGGTGGTCGATGCGTGCTAATGAGCTGGAAGCAGCAGCTGCATCTGGTAATTACCGGAAGCTCTTCCAGCTCATCCGAGCCACTGGCAGCAAGAAGTCTGGTGTGAGTGAAACAATCTGCGAGGATGATGGGATGCCAATCACTAACATCCATCGACGTCTTGGACGATGGGCAGAATTTTTCGAAGGGCAGTTCAACTGGCCTGCTGCTCCGGCAACATCGGTCAGACTGTCCTGCCCTCCATGGCCGGTGACGACTGATCCACCAAATGAGGAGGAAGTCCGCAAGGAACTCCAACTCTTGAAGCGTTACAATTCACCTGGCCCAAATGACTTACCTCCGGCTCTTTTTAAAGATGGTGGTGACTTTTTGACTAAGGAATTGACGACGTTGTTTACAAAGGTTTGGGAACTAGAGAGTGTACCAACGTCATGGAATGAGTCGATAGTTGTCCCTATCTTTAAAAAGGGTTCACGTCGTTCTTGTAACAACTATCGGGGGATAAGTTTACTTCCGATTGCGTCCAAGCTATTGGCTTCCGTCATACTTCGTAGGTTGTTCAAAACCCGAGAAAGATTGACTCGCGAGGAGCAGGCTGGGTTTCGTTCTGGTCGAGGATGTATTGATCATATCTTCACCCTCCGCCAAATGTTAGAACACCGCCATACTTTTCAAAGGCCAACAATCGTAGTGTTTCTTGACATCAGGGCTGCCTTCGATTCGTTGGAGAGGACTGTTCTCTGGGATTGTCTATTGAAGAGGGGTATGCCTAAAAAGTTCATTAACAACTTGAAAGCCCTATATACAAACACCTTAGGCAGAGTGAGGGTATGCAACAAATTCTCTGCATTGTCCCATTCAAGCAGTGAGGTGAGACAGGGTTGCCCAATCTCACCATTCCTCTTCAACTTTGCCATCGATGACATTCTGGAAACAGCTCTGATAGATGTGAGTGGTAGTCGTATAGATCTATTACCTGGAGAAAGACTTCTCGACCTTGAGTATGCGGACGATATTGTCTTACTGTGCGATAATGCCCAAGGCATGCAATCCGCACTTAATCAGTTGGCAATCAGTGTCCGTAGGTATGGTATGTGCTTTGCACCTTCCAAGTGCAAAGTACTTCTACAAGACTGGCAGGATTCTAATCCTGTACTCACCCTGGATGGTGAGCAGATAGAAGTAGTCGAGAAGTTCGTGTATCTGGGTAGCTGCATAAGTGCTGGTGGGGGTGTGAGTGATGAGATCAATGCACGTATAGTGAAAGCCAGAGCGGCTTATGCCAATCTGGGCCACCTTTGGCGCCTTCGTGATATTAGTCTGGCTGTAAAAGGCCGGATCTACAACGCGTCGGTGAGAGCAGTTTTGCTCTATGCTTGTGAAACCTGGCCTCCGAGTTGAGGATGTTAGACGACTCTCTGTGTTCGATCATCGCTGTCTCCGAAGGATTGCTGACATTCAGTGGCAACACCATGTCAGTAATGCAGAGGTTCGGCATCGTGTGTTCGGGCACAGAGATGATAATGCAATTGGTGTCACCATCTTGAAACACCGACTTCGGTGGCTTGGACATGTTCAGTGAATGTCGTCCCAGAGAATTCCACGTCGTGCATTATTTTCCGATGCTGGGACTGGTTGGAAAAAGCGGAGAGGTGGTCAGTGCATGACATGGTGTCGTGGTATGAAAGAAAGCTGCAAAGGACTGGCTTGTGTTGGTCCTTCACGACTCCCTGGCTGAGGTCCGAGAGATGGTGCTACACAGTGGCTAGAGACGTTATCAGATATGGCTCAGAATAGAAGCCAGTGGCGATCCTGCTGTAACCTTCTTTTACTTTCTTCATAAAAAGTGGTTGTGTCTCCTTTACCTGAAAGATTTCTTCTGATTGTACCTTTTCGTTCCGTCGTTACTACCACACTACCTTACTCCAATCTCTTCGTTATTGTTCTCTTTTTCTTTTTGCGTTCCTTAGTTTTTTTTTCTTTCTTCTTTCTACTTCTCTTCGAATTCCCATTGTTTTGTGTGGCGCATATATATTGGCGCTCTATTGTACCAATATTTATGTGTTCAAATAAATAAATAAATAAATACCCAGGTGGACTTTCCATGTCCACCAACCCGGTTAGAGCGCCGGACATTCGCTTTTCGTCCTCCCAATTTCGTAAACAATACCCGTGTTGCGAGAAAGCAGTAAGTAGGACTTCCCTGGCAGAGGCTATATACGCGTGGCCGTGTGAGAGCATTTCGAGAGGGAGAGCGTACTCTCCCCACTCCCGGCCGTACCAGGGCATTTTGGGGCTTTTTAGCTAAGCAGAAGGTAGTCTTTAGTGACAAAAAGGATCGTAATAAAGGATGATAAAATTACAAGAGGTAATGAGCCTTAACATAAATAATCAAGAGTTTCACGCTAATTGCTTCTTGCAGTAAGAGAAAAGAGTTAGGGCTTTCATCACGAACTAGCATCACCTACAATACGAGGGTTGGGTTTACGAAGCTACAAAGTACTCATTCTTTGCATCTATACGGGTAAATGGAAATATCTATAAGTCACTATCTTAAATGTATTGGTTCACCACCAAAGTATAGAGTGAATTTTCCATTAAAAAAAACTAATAAAGTCCCCTCCACCCTATGAATCGCTAAACTTTGTTCCTAGTCTCACATCTTGTCATGTTTCTTGATTTCCAGAATTTATGTAGCGAAATATCGGTAAATTTTGTTGAGGCATATCATAGCTCTCAATAAGTAAAAGGTACTTGTTGTCTTGTTTCTGATTTCGCTCTGAAATCTAGTAGCCAGTATCTTCTCATTTTATGCTGTAAAATGTTAAACTGATATGAGTGCTGTTTCATCAGTATTTAATTGGTCACATGTATGTGCCAACAAATGAAACTTCTAGTCTGAGCCATGTTGGTAGATGCAGACTACTTGGTTGGGGTCCGCGTGACTATCGTAACCAATGGTTGGAGACTCTTGGTGACATGGCTCAGAATCGATCACAATGGCGTCGGTGTATACACTCCCTGTCTTCCCTTAAACTAAGAGAATAAAATTGCTTCATATCTTTCTTTCTACGAACCAATTCTTTCTTCTTGTACTATATCTCTATATGCAATCTTTCTCTTACATATTACTACCTTTGACCTAACCACTGCTATGAATCCGGTGTTCATCTTGTTGTGCTGATGCGGTATGGTAACCTGGACCGATGCACATATGTGCCTGGTCCTACGTTGTAGCTGACTGACAAATGAAACTTGTCTTATCCTATCTTTCCTGCCTAATAAACAAGTCACTGGCTCGTCTTCACTCGTAGAAGAAGACTTAAATATGGTTCTCAAGGTAATATAAGCTAATGCGTGTCACTGCAAACGAAGCAATAAAACAGTTTATGGGTATTGTTTTTGGTGATGATATAGTTCATATTATTTTCTACATTTTTTTCCTTATAGATATGAACAATAATAGGATAATAGCTCATACATTCATACTATCATCCGTTACATCTCCATGTAGGAAATATCTACTTTTTGGAACTAATATACAGAAAATACTAATTTATTCGTTATGTTCACTGTCCTGTGGTATGTGAGCGTTGATCTTACAATTTTTTCGTTATAGATGCACAAATTGAGGGGAAGCCAGAATGTATTATCAACGTGAAATACGCAGGAAATATTTACGCTTTATGTTTCGGGAAGGATTATGTTTTTTGTGGGTCAATTGGTCTGATTGTTGTATACAAATGGACTACACCTACCGACGGCTTTCTGAAATATCATGATACAGTCCATCTGACGTCCGGAAATCTTTACGCAACCGTTTCTGAAGTAAGGTGGATAAATCAATACACTAGTTACATTTCATTCAATCGTGCTTAGGTTACCGGGTTGTGTTATCATACAGAAAGTGACACTCTATTGGCCGCATTAGGTGATGGAACTATCCATACGTTTTCAATTGGTTGTGATGTCAAAGAAAAGCTCAAATTTACTGGACATAAGTCCACGATCTATAAAATTTGCAGGGTTGGAGCACACGAGGTTCGATTTTCAATCTAATGTTTCATTTTGTTAGTTTTCTACTAGTTCTGAGGATGGTACTGTCTGCTTTTGGGATAACAGAGTTATGCAGAATGGGAGCTTTAAGGCTTCATCTGTGTTCAAACCGTATCTAAATAGTGAATTATCTCGATCCAAGCTTGGATCTTGGTTAACTACTTTATCCTGTAAACAGTTCGAAGAGGATTGGTTTGTTACGGGAGGGGGGCCTCGACTTTCTTTATGGAGTAGGCGTGCCGGGAGGAATGTTTCTATATTACACCCTGAAGGTAAATCTTCCTAAATGTCTTGATATTTTTGTAGGTGTGTTTGTTTGTTGCATTGTCAACCAAGGTTTACAGAGCTTTAAATATGTTATCTTATTGATTGATTACTCAGTTGATGGTTTAAGTCATTATTCTGCGTCAGTTAAAATGTGTTTGTGTTAATATCACCTTAGCCGTAGTAGCTCACTATTGTTTGTAGGAAAATACAAAGTTATTAGTAACTACTGTACAAAACTTATTCTTGGTAAGAGATTCAGATTGTTTGAACATGGTAATAACATGGATGATTGCGTTCTGCTCACACTCACTTGTAACGGTCTGCATAGCGTTGTCTTGAAAATACACGACAAAGTTAGAATTACTTTAAACTAGCTGTTCTTTGCAATTTTATTCAGCTTGATCTATCTTCCATGTTCTTTAGAATTGATATACTGACAAAATCCTGTTAGGCGGTGACAAAATAACAAATATTTCGAACACAGTAAGGTTGATATAATCTTCAGAGTACAAAACAATCCAAGATTGTTTAACTAATAATCCACATTGTTTTTAGTAGATCAAATCCTGATTTATTTAAACTAGTAGTATAATGAACATGTTCAGAACCTTCATCATGAACATTGTCTCACTTGTCAATGTAGAGTGGTGACTTATTATTTACAACACTGCTGTCAGTCAGTCACTGACAACGTAGAACTTCGTACGTACGTACGTCAGTTCGAGTTGCCACACCACATAAGCACAGAGATGCAGTTGTCGATTCAAATCCCGTAGTGGTAGAGGTGGTAAGAGTATAACCAACTGCCAACACTGTGCTATTAACCACTAGGCCACATATTCGGACAGAGTTTCATTTGCTTCGATTCAGGCACCTGGTTAATGTCACCACCCTTTGCACAAACAATATGCCTAAAGCCGAATGCATGAGTTACATTCGTTAATTAGTGTCGTACTAAAAAGTCTCATAGGACCTTAATAAATAATTCACATCAAAGTTGTTATTGGATAGTAGAAGAACTGAATCACTTAAAATTTCTATTTAATTTCATTTTTTACGGTGATATTCGGCTATGAAACTTTTTAATTCTCGGATTCGTTCTGGGTTATTTTAATTATGTCAAAATGATAGGAGATAGGCTACAGTTTTACAAGCTTACTGGGCTCTACTAACTGGTCATACATTTCTTGTTTTGTGCAAACTAAGTTTAGTTCATCATTAATACTTAAACAAATATTGGCACAAAGGTGAACTGAAAGAAATACACACCACATAATAAGACAACAAGACTACTAAGAAATAGAGGAAGGAGGGTAAGTATGGTCAAAAACAATAAATTGATAAAAAATAAGTGAGCGGGAATAGTTTATAATTGGGGAAGTAGTTCAGTTAGCACAAGGTTTGCCACAATGTATCCGTTCAGTTAAGGAAGTTCCTCTTTTTTAAAATAAGTGAAAGAAAGCTACATTGGAATTACCATTAGTTTATATTCTGAGCCGTGTCTGATGACGTTTCAAGTCACTGAGTTGCATGGTATCTCGAATATCAACCAGAAAGTCGAGGAGTCGATGGATACCAGTCCTGTTCGGCTTTGTTTCATACCCCGACACAATGACTGACCATTTACACTTTTCTCAACCAACCCCAGCGTCGGCAAGTAATGCACGACGTGAAGTTCACTGGAATGACGCGTGTAGCACTTGTCCAAACCACCGAAGCCATTACTTCAAGGTTTTGACACTAATTGAATTGTCGTCACTGTCTGAACACACGTTATCGAACCTCTGCATATTAACATGGTGTTACCGCTGAGTGTCAGCAATCCTTCAGAGAAAAAACGATTGAACACTGAGAGTTGCCTAACATTCTCAACTCGGAGAAGTCAGATTTCATGAGCATAGGGCAGAACCACTATCACCAACGCATTGTAAATCCAACCTTTTGCTTTCAGACTCACGACATGATGGCCCAGATTGGCTTCCACCATACCCAAATTAATCTCGTCAGTCGTAACAATATTAGCACCCACAAGGCTACCCAGGTTCATGAACTTTACTACTTGTAACTGCTCACTACCAGGAATGAGTGCAGGAACAGGCTTCTACCAATCTTGCAGAAATTCTTCGCATTTCGAAGGTTATAAACACACGCCATACCTACGGAAAATGGTTGCCAACTGATTAGGTGGGGATTGTATGGATTAGGTATTGTAGTGAACAGAACACGAGTAGGGGACAATCGAATGTATTTAACAGGAAACTACAGAACTTGTTAATAAAATCTAATAATCATATAGTAAATGCTTAATTTGCAAAATGTCCATCACTTGTCTTAAAATATCTCAGACTTCATTGTTCTTGCATTTTCATACAAATTGCGTTCTGTTTCCATTCTTAAATGTTCGGTCCTCTTGTCTCTCTACTGCCAGACATTCTACTCCTGACTAACGTCATATACTACTTATGTCGATATAAGTAGCACACCACAGTATCATTAAACAGCATGACTATCGTCATACTCAAAGTCGGAAAGCCTTACTCCAGGTGACATCCGCACCACCACTACTTACTTGCATCAGAACTTTCTAGAATGCTGTCGATGGTTAATTTAGAGAGGAGTGGTGAGATTGGGTAGCCTTCCCTAGCCTCACTACTTTAGTGGAAGGATGAGAGGTGATCGTACTCCCTCACCCTACTCGGGGTGTTTGTATACAGAGCCTTCAAAATGTTGATAAACCTTTTGGGGCGCATCCTTCATAAAATCCAATATAACAGTCCTGTTCATCGAAGGCAGTCTTCATATCAAGATACAGTGATTATTAACCTGCAATATTTACTTCAGTGTTCTAACATTTGGCAGAGACTATATATATATATATATATATATATATCAATACGTCCTCAGTCAAAACGAAAATCAGTCTGCTCCTCGTGAGTCAACTATTCCCGGGTTTTTGGCAGTGCGCAAAGTATGACGTAAACAAACAGTCTGAACGCAATCTGAATTAAACTTATCCCCTTATAATTTTTGCGTAGTTGATGTAAAACGTTTTTAAAAAGGACTACTATCGCCTTGTTTCGGGGCGTTGCAACACTCTAATTGCCAAACGTTTGCAAACAACTGTCACTTTCTTGATCAAAAGTTCATCACTATCCCTAAGAGGGACCAGAGGTAAGTTGTTTAGTCATTTATGGAGCTTCAGAAGTTGTAGTTCCTTGCGAACTTCCGCCGATTTAGGTGGGTCAGTCGTCACCGTCCATAAAGGACAGAACAGTTTGACCTGTTTCACGAGGGCAGTAGACCAGCTGAACTGTTCGTCAAAGAACTCTGTCCCTCGTCCAAAACATCAGTGATGGTTTTGTACACAACTACACCAGCGGTAGCTGATCACAATGTATCGAGTCTGAGTCATAGCTTGAGCTACAGAGGGAGGATGCAAGTTAACACATCAGCGATGACTGTGCCAAAGTCGGTCCTAACCGGAAACAGTTTGTGGTCTGTACAAAGCCACAGGAGACGGTCTCTGTTACCAAATTTGCAGCTGATAGGTCTCTGTCGGCCACTCAAACGACTCTGTGCCTAGACACTCGACCCGCGTATTCAAATCGCCGGCTAGCAACACAATATCCGTTGAACACGCTGGTGGTTGGAACATAGGCAGAGATAACTAAATGACATAGTTTCTCGGGCCGAATACGTTTGTTTTTGATGAATTTTTTTCTAAATTTAACACAATCAACTATTGATTGGGATCCAGTTGATTAGTCCTGCCACACGGTCCTCGGATAAACGCCTATGAAACAAGCTTATTGAATCTGCAGACGGAAAGCGAATGTGTTGCACTGCACTAGAGTCTTGATACGGCTCTCAGATAGACAACAGACATTGGTGTTAAGCCCGACCCTTGTTGCTACCTTGACGTGGTGGCCGGACTTGCCTATCGTGATGGACCAATCGAGCTATATTGGCTGCAACAATCGTTCCTCAAGGTCCTACCATGCCAGATAGGTCGGTTGAAGGGTAGTAAGTCTAAGAGCAGCAAACCCAAGGTCCAAAGTCGTACTGCTGACTGTGCAGAGGTGTGACGGCATAAAATGTTTCCTTCAGACAACCTGCTTAACAGCGATGCTGCCTTCCCACAAGTCAGTCAGTCAGTCAGTAACAACGAAAGGGTGGGGTTAGAAAAGGTCGACCTTAAAAATGCACACTTCGCCTAATCCCACAGATTCTCGTCTCGGTCACTAAGGTTTCACCAAGTACGGAGCCAACACGAAAAGATTGTGTGTGACCGGCCTCAAGCCGCTGTCTCTTGGGAACTGCAGTCACACTCTCAGGTCACTAAGAGCACCTCTAGCCCAATTTCTTTTTCAGGTACCTATATAAGAACCTTTCACGGTGTGGGCAACCAGGTAGTGCTAACCGCCTTCATTTCTCTAACAACACTGGAGATCACTGTGTTCATAATCAATTTTCCTCTTCAATTCCTATTATTCCTCCTTAATCGACTTTCAACACTAAACTTGATGTTAAGACTTTCTGAAGACGTAGCCAAACCTATATGTTGTCCGATCTCCATTATTGTTTGAGCGCTGAAAGAAGCCAGTTTTATTGATAAACGTGGTTTTAAGGGGGCTGGTTCAGAAATCGTATTCAGTTTAAGCATTTAACTTTCGACCATTCAGTTACTTGAGATCGCTTAGATAGGGCAGAATTTTCACCTCAGGCGAGCTGATGTGTGTTGGAAAATAAAACTAAACATAGAATATGAATTATAAGGAATGAAAGGATAAGAAAGCGAAATATGAGTTTTGTTTTGTAATTAAGCGTTCTCAATCTTCTTTTATGTAGCAAAAGTGTTTTGATCTTTGATAATCATCTTCATAGTTGTTCTTTGGTTGGTGTGAACTGTCTTTCAGATTGTTTATATGAAGATTTCCGTCTTATATTGATTTAAACATGTTGCTTTGTCATGGAAGGTAGACTGTAATTGATTAGTTCGTTTAGATCCCTATCTTTAATCGTGTGATTTTTTCACTTTATAGTTTTCTTTCTCTTTCAGGTTTATCAGACATTTGGTATTCACAAACAGCCATTTTTTGTGATATGGATAATGATTCACGCATTGTATCCGGTGGTAATTCAAGTTTATTATATATGTGGGATCATGTTGGCAATTTGTTGGCTTCAGTGGATTTACATGATCCACCTAACTCACGTTTAAGTCATATACTTGTTGTTGATAAATTTAATCTATCTGAATCGGTAGATTCTTTAAAATTAAAATATCATTCGAATTGTGCATTTTTTGTTGGTGGTTGCGGTCCAGTAATACGATTAATTGCTAATCTTGGTTATCCTTTAGGCATGTTACATTACTCTATTTGAATTGTGTTCAATCCTTGTAAATAACATTTATATTTTATAATATAAAACAAAGGAAGTGTACATAAACTTCTACTAAATATAAAATATTCCCTGCATAAATCATTGTGTTGTTTCTTTTTTTTTTTTAAAAAAAGACTTCATCTCCCCTTCACCCCTTAATTCCCCTTCTTCTTCTTTTCTGGTTTCTATGCCATTCTAGTTATTTTTACCAATTTTCACCTTAGAATGTATAATAAGTCAAAAGGCAATCACAATAAGAATCAGAATAAGGAAAAGAAAAATTGTCCATTTATAAGAAAAAGAAAATTCAAATCAAAACATGATTCAAGGTAAATAGATTTTAAACAATGTTTTATCGGTGTGTTCAATGATCATTTGATTTACATTTATATCTATTCACATGCTTATATTGCTTCAAGAAAATATTGTGTATCATATCGCCCCCAAATGCCCTCGTACGGCCGAGAGTGGGGAGAGTCCACTCTCCCTCTCGAAATGCTCTCACATGGCCACGCGTATATAGCCTCTACCAGGGAAGTCCTACTCACTGCCTTCTCGTGACGGGGGTGTTTTTTACGAAATTGAGTGGACGAAAAGCTAATGTCCGGCGCTTTAACCAGATTCCAAACCAATGGTGCACATGGGCTACAGTATCCTGCGGGAACAAATGGCGTATGAACCAATTGTTGGTCACCGGCTTCCATGGGACTGCGTCTCCTTACGATGCTCCACTTCCTTGTGAATCAGACCTTCAGGTCGAAGGCTCGGAGAGTGGCCCCCTAAGAAAACCACCTGCTTCGGTTTGGGCACCCGGGCAGTATTACAGCCCTCACACATATCGAATCAGATTTGTGTGGCGCATATATATTTGGTGCCTCTTTGTACCAATATCTATGTGTATTATATCGTGTTTAGATTCATATTATCTATATTTTGCTTATAACTCAGTGTTTTAGGTTACTGACTGTTGTAGTACTAGGCTGAATATAATCTTTATATCTTGATTATTAGAAAAAGTGACTTCATGATAAAGCAACTTGCCGCTCAAACAGTAGGTCGCAGATTCAAATCCAGCTCTACCTATCTAAGTTTAATCAGTTAAGTAGTATTTTTAACCTTCACACACGTGCATTATTCGTGCTAGGTTCTACTCTGATCATGATTGACATGAAACTTTTCTAATGTCAATGATTTAGATAACTATAATATCTTTCTGAAAAAAATCTCTGCATTATAATATCACTGAACGTTTTGCGTGTAATGGAATTTAGTCACTTTGCAATTCCATTGGTTTAATGGCTTTATATTTATGTATTCATTTATACACATAAAATGTGATCGAAGTATATCATTAGAAGACCTCAAATGATATTACTTCAAATTGTCCACAATAGTGTATATTAATTCATCTTCTTTCTTCAAGTTTAAAGTGTTTCATTATTTCATTCTCTATTTCATGTAAACTGTTCTTTTTCAAATGTTTATTTTGTCATTATCATGAACTTTATACTTTTCATTTCGACTGGATTTGTATGTTATTTTGTTTATTTTTTGATACTGTTCCGAAGTGAATGGTAATAGCATTTGTTCCAAGTCACAAATTATTTATGATTGGCTGATTTCATTATTTCGTGAATGGAGCTGATAGCCCGTTTACTGTTCGGATTTTTTTGACTGACGTGCAATAATTCTAAATATACCAAAGTCCCTAATACTTCTGTGTTTGATCATCGTTATATTTGAATGATTACTTGCACTCGATGGAAAAACTGTTTCAGTCATGTTAAGTTCAAGTCTCATACGCTTCTTAGTGAAAACCATTTTTTAATTATCGTTAACTACCAATTTCAAAGAATTAGACATATAACGTCTTAATGGATTCCACACCCAAAGTTGTTTGTTTCCTCGGATGTCGTGTACAAGAAACATAGTGGCTATATAGGCGTGGCCATATGAGGGAATTCCGAAGGGGAGAGCGAACTCTCCTCACCCTCGCTCGTACCAGACATTTGGAGGTTGTATTCAATCTACATAGAAAAAATGACAAGAACTTACTTTTGGGATTATTAGATTGCTGGTTTTGTTAGTTCTAATAGCAAGTATTTATCGTTTTTTAGTTCATCGGAAATTCCCATGCATCTACATTGTTTCCATAAGTATCAAATAAACGTTTATCTCATTGGGAATTTCAAAATAATTTAGGAATTAGATTGTATTCTTTTTTATCAAGTGAAATTCTTTCCACAATTTTTTATTTACGTCTGTTTGTTCAGTGATCATTATAGTTGTTTGTATATGTTAGTTGAACTGACGATCAGAGAAATTAGTATATTAATCTCGTTACGTTGTTGCTTTTCAAATACAGTTCACATTATGTTGTATCAGCATAAGAGTAAATCACAAGCTTACTTAATCGAACAGTAGGAAAAAAAACCATTCTCATAAACTTCTTGTAAATGGCCCCAAATGCCCCGGTACTGCCGAGAGTGGGGTGGGCCCGTCCTCCCTCTCGAAATGCTCTCACACGGCCACGCGTATATAGCCTCTGCCAGGGAAGTCCTACTCACTGCCTTCTCGCAACACGAGTATTGTTTACGAAATTGAGAGGACGAAAAGCGAATGTCCGACGCTCTAACCGAGTTGGTGGACATGGAGAGTCCACCTAGGGGAGTTGGAAAACCCTGATTCCAAACCGATGGTGCACATGGGTTCCAGTATCCTGAAAGAACAAATGGCGTATGAACCAATCGTTGGTCATCGGCTACGATGGGACTGCATCTCCCTACGTTGCTCCACTACCTTGTGGGTTAGATGTTTTGGCCGAAGGCTCGGGGTGTGATGCCCTATGAAAACCACCTGCTCCGGTCTGGTCACCCGGGCAGTATTACAGCCCACACACAAATAGAATGAAATGACGATATTTACTGAAAATACTATGCTTGCTTCGATTAACAGTCAAACAGTTCACATTATTATTATTATTATTATTATTATTATTATTATTATTATTATTATTATTATTATTATTATTATTATTATTATTATTGTTTTCTACCACGTCACTTATTCAACTCTCTTATATTCCCACTTTGGTGTGGCGCACATAAATCTGGTGCCCCTTTGTATCAATATTTATGTGTTCAAATAAATAATAAATAAATAAATCTAATAAATGAATAGTAAATAAATAAACTATATACTGGAAATTGTTGTAGAATGCATATCAGTTTACAGGCATGATCAGATTGATAACCAAACCAAAGCGGTATGAGATGAAATTTTTTGTTGTTGAAAGAATGTAGTTCATAGATTGTTTTGGTTGGACATTTGTCACAAAAATTTCAACAATATGAGTAAACAGTTAGAAGCAGCCCTTTAATTCTTTGTAAGAGGAACATCCTGTCCATATACTTTCTATAATGCAATTAATCTATTTCTAGTTCAAATTAATAGATTGAATACGGTTAAACAATCATAAGTTTTGAATTGTCAAGAAGGAAGTTGAAAGTGTACAGTTGTGATTGTTAAAATCTGCCATCAAGATGTATTTTTTTACTTTTAAAAAGATCCCATTCTATTTTAGACTGGAATATTGATCTAACCTCGTCAACGATGTCTTTTCGACAGGCTATTTCATCATTCAATTAGCATTTGATTCATGATAGAGATGAAGGTATTTTTCCAACCATTGTATTTCAGTGAATTCATTCCAATAAGAAACTAATGTATTTTCTTGTGTTTAATTGTATATTGTAGCTTATCTGTTATTCATTATTGTTATGGTTTTAAACGAACCTTTTTTAAAAATGTGATAAATTTTTTTCTTATTCTACTCTAAAAGTGTACCATTTGATGATTGAATTACCTTTCAGAATACATTTATTAAAACAGAAAATTATACAGAAACGACGAGCAGAATTCGTTTCTCGTACTCATAAACAAAAACCCAATACAATCAATCGAACGGAAATAATCGAATTGACATCTGATAAATCCAAAGTGATTCCTAATGTTTTCACTATGTCAAGTGATAATTCTTGTGAACAATCATTTTCAAAATTGGACAAAGATGTATCAGTTGAAAAAATGTCTTCAGTGAAATCTCATTCGATTAGGTTGAGTGATGTAAATGATAATATTTAAATGATAATATACATCCTATATGAACATTCTTGAAATAGATGCCCCATTAATGGTACTGGAATATGATATGGCATTTGTTTATTTTACTTATCAAGTCTCAGAATTGTACAAATTCTTATCATATATATCACGATCTATCTCTATTTTCATTTATCTGTGATAAATCTCTGAATAAAAATAACAAAACCATCCATTATGATTGATAACTTGGATTAAATTCAAGTTAGACGCAGGATATTAGGGAGTGATAGTAAATTAGTTGATGAGGTTGTGAATGTTCATCGACTGAGATGGTTGGGAAACGTGTTACGTATGCCTGAACACCGATTATCACGACGCGCAAAACTGACTAGTGTGGGGGGAGGGTGGTTGGAAGTTAGGGGTGGCCAAACCAAAACGTGGCACTAGTCCATAAAGTCACTGACTTCTGGTTTTAGCCATGTTGGTAGATGCAGTCTACTTGGTTGGGGTCCGCGTGACTATCGTAACCAATGGTTGGAGACTCTTGGTGACATGGCTCAGAATCGATCACAATGGCGTAGGTGTATACATTCTCTGTCTTCCCTTAAACTACGAACTGATTCTTTCCTCCTGTACTATATTCTAATACACAGTCTTTCTTTTATATATTAGCACCATTGAATTAACTACTATGAATTCGGTGTTCATCTTGCTGTACTAATGTGGTGTGGCAACTTGGACCGATGCAATATATGTGCATGGTCCTACGCTGACTGACTTGCATTAAAATAAACAAAATAGCCATTATTTGTCTAATAAAAATAGACTGATTTAATTTTTCTTACATTGGTTCGCCAATCAATGAAATAGTGTTAAGTCATGCTGATTGGACGCTATATTCGTCCTGATAACCCACACGCTAAAACTATACAGCGACCTGAACACCAGAGAGAAGACGCAAAGTATGAGAGAGACATTTTACTCTAAGGTTCGTTTTTGTACAGAAAACATGGGTATTTATAGATGTTAACGTTTGTTAAATCAACATCATATGTTGGCCAATCCGTTAACGACATATTATGCTACTGACCAATAGTAGCACGCCACGTTTATATTCTAGAATGCTCCATCATGCTCTGATTGGCTAGGACTCTTCGGCCCTTTTTGGGCCTCTAGAGGCTCCGTTGAAGTTCTTCGAAAGCCGACTCAACAAATAGATCCCTTAGTAAATAAAAAAATTAGTGCATTAAGATATAAATATCATTTACATGTTAATTACGAGAATGTTCATTCTTGGCCTGGAAAACAAAGTTACTGAACATGTCTCTTTGGAAATAAGCTTGCTTTTTCACTAATAAACAGAGTAATTGAACTTTCAATCCGATCATAAGTGTGAATGTATTGTAACCCCTATATTAAATGTCAATTGATTATACATATACAAATGTGTTTTGCATTGTATCATTCACTTAAATGGTAATAAATTTGTAATATTGTTAACTTTTTTTTATTAGACCGAATAAAAAATCTAAATCGTTCATTGTCAATAACAAATCAGAAAATGATCAATCAAATCGACAGTATAATTTGCAAAACTCAACTTCGAATTTATATTCAACAAATAACATGAAAGAAGTATGGTTTGATAATGTACCACAGGCTTTAATTGCTAATTCAATGCAAGATCAATCGGCTACAACAAAATCTTTAGTGAAACTAACATCATTTTCAGGGTAAAATCCCAGTTTGATTTCATGTGTTCATAAAACTACTTTTTTTTTTAGAAAAAATACTAATGTTACTTAGAGAAGATTGGAAAGCATTATGTGGATCCACAAAATGCTTCATAAATACACTTCTGGTGATTGATAACTCCAATTCACAACACTAAAACTACTTTATAAGCAAACTAACCATCGTCAGTGAAATGTGACCAATTTGTGGTAAAAAATAATAATGACGACAATAAATTGAGGGATAATTTAGCAAAATAATTTACTTGCTCCTGTTACTCCACTGACCAGGTTTCTCCAACCGCATCTGTCCTGAGCTCTCATTTCTCATTGCTATTCATTCTTTTATTGTCTGCCTCTTATTGCTTGCGTAATATGTTCTTTGCTGTTACTCTTCTTTTTCCCTTTAGGATTCCACGTTAGGGATTGTTTCATGATGCGGTTTGTGTATCCTATCCACCTTCAACGTCCTTTTTTAATTTCCTCTTCAGTTAGAAGCTGGTTTGTTCCTTGTCAATGTAGGCTGTTGCTGTTGATACCCAGCCGTCACATGCTTTTGGTATGATATTGAGCATCGTCTTATATACACCATAGTGCCGAAGAAGTTTCTATAAGTTTCTTCTGTCCACACTGTGAAGGGCTTTCTTATAGTCAAGGAAGTCGATGTATGTTAACGAGTAATGTTGAGAGTTGCTCTCAACAGTAGTTTCTTCTTTGAGTAGATCTCGTTAGGCTTAGAACCTGTTGCTATGGGCTATCTTGAATTCGTTGAGTTTATCAGTATCCCGAAAAAATACTGTATTAAGCCTCTATAATGCTGTTTGCCCAGTGTTTCTTTAACTCTATTTTTCATTTCGACAATCACCAGGTGGTGATCTGAAGCTATGTCAACACCTCTCTCTTTTCTCATGTCTTCCTTTAACCAACTGAATTTTTTAGTAATGCAAATATGATCGATCTGCTTCTGTGTGGTGTGCTCCGGTGAGACTCATGTAGCTTTGTGTGTGCGTATGTGGGGGAATATAGTGTCATTTATAACCATTTGTTGTTGGCACATTAATTTACACATCTCTTAGCATTCTCGTTCTTTTCTCCCAGTCAGTCCATGTTGTCCTTTGATATCTTCATACCCGATGTTATCCATTCTAACCTCGGCGTTTAGATCTCCCATCAAGATGGTCGGGTTCCTTTCGTGGGTCCTTCTCTGCGATCAACTACAGCCTCCCATAAAGCTGATCTTTATCGCCTAATGCTACCGTCGGTAGATGCATAACACTCATTGTGATTCCTTTCTTTGTTTTAAAGGATGCTTTGATGATTCTGGATCCATGAGATCCTCATCTTATAAGTGCTTCTTTCGACATCACCTCTCCCGGATCTAATCTTCTTTGTCCAGCTTGGGTTCAATGGTTTTCACTGATTCCGAACACCGCCAAGTTGTATCTCTTCATTTCCGTAGCTATTCGATCGGTCCTTCCGGTCTCCTACATTGCCCAAACATTCTATGTATCTGTGTTAATTGTTCCTGTGTTTGTTATAAGGGTCATCTGCCTCGTGGCTTCCAAAAATCTCGGCTTTCATCATAAAGCGTCACAATTCTTCTAAATGAATATCTATCAACTCCCAGGTCAGAGTTTACGGCATAGTAAATATATTTTTTTGTTAGATCCCAATGAGTAGAAAATTGTATTCCTGACGTTTCGTGAGTAAATAAAAAATTACTCTGAAGAAGTGGCTTACATTAAGTCACGGTCAGTCAGTCATCAACAACGTAGAACTTCTTACGTACGTACATCAGTTCGAGATGTCACACCACATTAGAACAGAGATGCAGTTGTCGATTCAAATCCTGTAGTGGTAGAAGCAGTTAGAGTATAAGCAGTGATCGGAAACATTAGGGTTTGTAGATGTTATTCATTAAGTCACGAAACGTCAGGAATACTATTTTTCTACTCATTGGGATATAACGAAAATTATATTTATTACTAACCGTCTAACCAATACTCAATTTATTTGAAACTGTCAAGTCCGGCCATGGCATTGATACCTATACTTGAATGGTTTGAATTGTTTTTTCTGGTAAGCATTTTGCAGCCAGGTTGTCTAAACCTTCTTCTTTACTCGGGCTCGGAACCGGCAGTAACCCTAGATGGATATGTTTTGTAATGCTTCTGATGTTTCACTGATAATTCTTCCAAACGAATAAGTTTAGACAATTTTCAATTCTAATTTGAGTATTTATTGATCATATATATTTTTTGGGTAAAAATAAAAACGGTAAACATGTATTTTGGTGTGTATATTTCTATGTACATTTTTTAACAGTCCGACACGTCGTATTGCAATGGATTGTGAATTCGTTGGAGTAGGTTTTGAAGGTAAAGATGATGCATTAGCACGTGTTTCAATTGTAAATCAATTTGGTCATACCCTATTGGATGCTTATGTACGTCCAGAAGAACGTGTTGTTGATTATCGAACAAAATTCTCTGGTATAAGACCTCGTGATTTGCGAAAAAATGGACCAGCTCGAGCGTTCAATGATGTACACAAAGAAGTTGCAGAATTGATAAAGAATAAAATACTAGTTGGACATTCTATCCTGAAGGATCTTAAAGTGTGTTGAGTAAATCATCGTTTCGATTCACTAATATAAAAACTTATGATACAACTGATTTGATAAGAAATGTATTGATTTCTAGATTGTTTACAATATACTTGGTTTCAGTACTGGATTGATGCATGGATCAATAAGTACAGAACCCGTCAAATAGTTATCTTTTTCCATATCTAACCATCGAATCGATTATGAATTCTCATTGTATATTAAATGTTATGTGAACTAAAATAAATAGAATAAGTTTCAGATCAGAAATCCAGTGAAAGCCAATTTTTCTAATCACTCGATATGTTAGATAAATTTACTTCGCTCCCTGAATTCAAGATTATTTTGGTTTGGATTGTTGACTGGTATATCTTTCTTTACGCTAGAAGTATCTCCAATATTTTTTAGAAGAATTAACTATTCCCTTCAATTATAAGTTTTACTTTACCTTGATGAGAAGACTACCTCTCCGTTTTCTACTACTACTAATCTATCCCATTGTTTTTAATATGGTTCAACTTGATATACTGAATCCTTTACATTGTCCAGTCTGTTAATTGTTTTGTGCAGTGAAATATGTCCGTGAGGTTTAGACAATCGTCGACCCTTTGAGGGATACTATAAAAGTGATATGTGGTAGTGAAATTAAAATGTGATTAATCATTGAGTGTGGACAAATAGACACAGAGTACTTACTATTAAATATGTGGTTTTTTTTCCTCCCATTAATTTTCACTGTGGACTCACTGAGAGTGGCTGCTTGTAATTGTACTGAATAAAGTATTATTTAGTCTATACTCTGGATCATGAATCCTGGGTGTGATATAACGTGACTATTCATATTATCGTATTATCGTAGTGTACATGTGGAAGAGAGAAATACTTTAGACTATCCATTATATTAAATAGTCTTTTTAAGTTTCTTTCTACAATAATTATAGAATCCAGACTTGAATTACTGATATTGACTAAAAGTTTTAAGTATTTCTCGAGTCGTTGTAAAAATTACAACCTCACATAATAACTGAGATTCATATGATAAGATGTAAGTCTTTATCTAGTTGAAGATAAACGCTTAAAATGTTTTTTCCTATCAACTTCTTTTTGTAGTTAATTACTTTACGGAGCTTGCGTAAACACCTCTCAATTGTGAACGATCAGTAATGTTGAAAGAATATACAGTTCGAGATTACTTTATATTTTTGAAATCAGCTACTTATCATACTACTTTGTTTTGATTTAAGTAGTGAAGACTTTTCTTTGTAATTTCTCAACTTCTAGTTTTTGTGGTGATAAATCAAGTTTAGCATAGCGGACGTAATTATTTTTATCTACTTCATAATTAATTACTTTCTTGGTTCATAACTTATGGCGTTATAGTTTTATTTTTTAATTTTTTCCAGTTAAGTACATTTTTATTCGCTTTCTTTATTCCTGTAACTGATAGGTTTTAAGATTGTCTCACCCTCGTCGTTTTATTCGTGATACATCACGTTATCGTCCATTTCGGGATTTATTCAATGGTCGTATACCATCACTCAAGGCATTGACACAAAAAGTTCTTGGTGTGAATGTACAAAGTGGTGAACACGATTCAGTTGAAGATGCTAGAGCTACTATGCGTCTATACACATCTGTGAAACGTGTCTGGGAATCAAAGAAAAAGCATCGGACTTCAAAAACCGAACAAGTCAAGAAGAATATAAATCTAGAAGAACAAGGCGTACTGAATGTAAAAGATGAATATGAGGTTTGTTATAAATGGATCTTTAATTATATTATTCCTTTATGTATGCTTTCTTATTCTGTCTCTTCAAGCCATATTCCCAATTTTCACTTTCTCTCTTTATCATTGATATTACGATTATTTCGATTTCTTTACTATTTTTAAATTACTATTAATTCATGCAAATATAGTATGAATAAGTTAGCTGTCTATCAGGCATTACGCTGATTATGGTTGATTAATCGATTTGTCAAAAGGCTCTTTTTAGCTAGAGAATTAATAATGACTGAGATCATCATTCCGTGATAGCATCATTCTAGATCTTCACTTTATCTCATATTAATTAAAAAGGGGAAAACTTACTATTGGACTTTGATAGTCGTGAATTTTATGGGTTTACTTATATGTGTAATTGTAGTTACACACTGATGAGGTGTTCTAAGCTTAGATCAGTCCGATTATCCAGTTCTTGATGCCTCACGAAATGAAATCAATTTATGATGAATATTTTAAAATTTAAAGCCTCCATAAATTCACCTATTTCAAATTATATTTGTATATATGTGTTGGGATATTCAGAAAAATATCCCAGAAATTATTCTGTGAAGTCTAACGCTATCCTTCGACTTGAGATGGTGTCATTTCGTTATTGGTCAATGTTTATTTCACGTGTTATCTTCCTACTGGTCAATATTGTACAATGTTATTTTCTATTTTATGGTACGATGTGGTCTGCTTGATTAGTATATAAACAGAGTGTGTTTGAGATATAATGATTCATATCTCCGAGGCTGAGACTTGCGTTCTGGACTCAACTGGCTGGGCTAGTCAGGGAAGCGGGACCAATCAGAACCCTAGGCCGTTCTACGTGTTTGCGCATCTTTGGTTCGATCAACAATTCGCTGTCCTCTAATCTGCCGTCACAGTTATAGCAATATGCTTATCTGCACGATGGCTACATTTTGCTAAAAAGTGTATTCATAACTATATGTGTATCACTTAAGTTCATCAGAAAGTACTATATTAAGATTGCAGTTTGATTAATGAGATAGTAAAACGTCATGTAATGTGGCGGTTAAAATATGTATTACTTTATTCTTAAATACAGCTTACACACAACATGAAATACTAATTGGTTTAGGAGTGGATTGGGGGAAAGCTAAGAGGAGAAAGCAAGATATGGCGTTAATTCACCATTTTATTGGTCATTGGTCTGGCTCATTAGTCGATAGACGCAAATTTCCTAACTAAAGCAAACACAACAATCATCGTCTTTGATTAGGAACGTTGAGTAACGTCATACATACATAGTCGGTTACAATGGTCCCGCTTCATTTATTCCTCTTTTGAATTTCACGTTGAATGTTATCCTTAACTTTCCTTTCTTTCATCTCATATTTGTTCCGTCTAAACTGAATATCTCCTGTTCTAATTTTCATTGAATTTTATGTTATTTTCTCTCCTACTTCACTGATGTGAGATATGATAACTTTGATGAATAAAAATGCATGTCCTTTCATTCGTTTACTGATTGATAATTTGTGAACTATGTAATCATTCTGTATGAAGTGTATTATACAAGTTCATTGCATTTTCCACTTCTATCATAACTATCTTAACATACGGATTAAATGAAAAATATTATTTTTGTAAATTCTATTCGCAATAATTTCAATAATTGAAATTTCAAGGTTTCGTCCAACAAATTTATCTGAACTTCTTCAGAGAAATGATCAAAGAATGAATAATGTCTTAATAATCAAATCATATCTACACTTAATGCTTATCCATATGATTCAGTAAGATCATGAATCATGTGAATGATGTATGTATGTGCATATGTGTAACTCATTCATATTTAATGAATGAATGTTAATCATTTGTTTTGTTTCAGGCAAATAATAAAATTTGGGAAGGGAGAGTTTCAGAACGTTGAAATGATGATGAGCAACTCTTTCTGAAGTTAGATTACATCATGATCATTTTTTCTTCAATTTATATCTTTCTTTATTACTATTAATCTATTTTCAGTTAGTTTATTACATAATCATCTAATGTTTGTTCACTTTATGAGTTCTCATCACTATTTTCATACACTGGAACTTTCCCTCCCAAAAATGTATTGATTTTTATGACCACTATTTATGAGTGTCACTGCCGAGATTGAACTTGATAGTTTCAAATAAATTTATTTATTCTGAAGAAGTGTCTTCCATTAAGACACGAAACATCAAAAATGAAATTTTTTTCCTACTGAATGGGATATAACAAAAAATACATTTATTCTAACTACAGTATTTATCTAAATTAAAGTTTCCAGATACTAAATAGTCTACTAATCAGTACTTTGTTAAGGTATTTTGTAAATTCATTGACGAGACTCTAATTTAGGGACGAGCCAATTAGAAGCGTTTGAGCGATTTCAATTATTAGCCAATTAGAAGACAGAATAAAGTAAAAAATATATTATAAGAAAGTAATGAATTACAGTGGATATTCTTCTTTTACATGAGTAAAAAACTTGTTAAGGTTTGATAAAGGCTCAGAAGTTCTGAATTCATAATGCATACGGTATAGAAACTCGTCCATAGGGTTAGGGTTAAGGTTAGGGTGCTAACATGCGATCAGTTTACAACGGATTTTAGAGATTAGGGTAAGGGTTACGGTTAGGGTTTAGGGTTATGGTTGTAGCCTCTCAATAAACACCTCTTCTCTAAAATCCGTTGTAAACCGATCGTATGTTAGTACCCTAACCCTATGGGCGAGTTTCTATACCGTATGCATTATGAATTCAGAACTTCTGAGCCTTTATCAAACCTTAACAAGTTTTTAAATCATGTAAAAGAAGAATATCCACTGTAATTCATTACTTATATTTTCACATTATACTAACTGTCTTCTGATTGGCTAATAGTTGTCAAGGTCATTTAAGATTCGTTCAAAGGTCGTCCCTAAATTCGAGTCTCGCCAATTAATCTCGAGCTCGCAATTGTAATATTATATCAATCTAATGGTATATACCTAGTGAAATTCAATCGAAAAAGTGATTCTCTGGATATGATTGATATGCGATTTGACGAAAAAAAAGTTTCGATATTCTTATCAATTTTACTGGTATTTTTAGATAAATCAATTGTATGGATATAGTTTATGACACAATAGCTTAATTACAAGTTTTAACACTTCATTGTACCGTTAATTAAGGATAAAAAAGTAACAAAATACAGTCTAGGAGTTGTGGAGATTATTAAGTTTTTAATTGACATCATGCAACAATCCACGATTCCGCCTGCGGGATTCGAAGCCAGGGTTTTCAGTCTCGCGCGCGAACGCCTAACCTACCAGACCACTGAGTCGGCATCCAGTGGTGTCAGTGTCTAATGTCAACCAATCGACGAAATTGCGCGACCATCTCTACCCGACACGGATTAGCTGCAGGCTTCCAACGGTAGTCTAACACCAATCGGTTCATGATCGCAAGCAAAATACAGTCTGTATAAATTTATAATTGAATGAACTATTTTTTTTAACTAAACTGTCTCAGTTATTTATTAGAGTTAATTTGAAACATAAATAACTTGCTTGTCATTGCAAACAATTCAATAATAAACATTATCTTTAATCTTATACACTACTCTATGATATGATAACATTCAATAGGTGCATTTTCTGCAGTACACATTTCAACTGTTATTTCTTATAATAAATGATAATTGAATCTGATCAGTGTATATAATAGTAATGTAGTCAATGTTAACTTGAAATTTCAATTATTGAAATTATTTCAAATATACTTTATCAGAAGGAGTTTTGTAGAGATTTTAGGAATTTCACTGGTTGAAATCATGAATGGATTGGTTGAAGTTAGACATTAACGCCGTTGGATACCGGCTCAGTGGGCTAGTGGTTAAGCGCTCGCGTGTGAGACTGATAGGTCCTACGTTCAAATCTCACCGGGGGCGGGATCGTGGACGCTCACTTCTGAGGAGTCCCATACTAGAACGAAACGGCCGCACAGTGCTTCCAGGTTTTCCATGGTGGTCTAGCTTCAATTGACTCATGATTTCAAACAATGAAATATACTTTACACAAATGATATATTCTAATATAGTATTAATTAAAATTTTTCTGTAGTCATTTCATAGGATCACAAACTTTTCTTGAAATTTTATCAGTGGAATCCACAAATTACTTTCGAATAATGAAATGATTTGACTACATTGATAAACAATTCCATTTCATTCAGCTTAAAATATAACACATATCATATTGTAATACTTAAATACTATTGCCTTTAATTAATATTCTATGATATTTAATTGTTATTTAGATAGTTTAAAGCAAATGATGAAAATCCAGTTGAAGTGTCTGTAAGAATAAATCACATCTTAGTGATTAGGAAAAATTATCTTTCATCGAATGTTCTGATCTGTAACCTATTGTTTTGCATTTAAGTTCACGTAATCAGATTGTATCCGTATTGTTGACACGAAAGTATAACTTAAACCTAAGTATCTTTGATTAATTGTCACATGGTGATATGTGATATAAGCGTTATTAGATGTATACAAAATGTGTATATACACTATTTATTATAAATGGTTTGCATACATTTATATATTTTAATATTTTATAAATATTTCTATTTTTATTTAGTCTGGATTACATGAAGAAGTGAAATGTCATAAGTCTCAACAACACCAACACCAACAACAATCTACAACTTCCACTAAAGATTCTATTCATAAATTCAAACAATGGGATCCAATACGTAATCGTAAATGTTCAAAAAATCGAATGAAATTTCTCAATCGACATCGTAAACATAAAAGAAACACAAACACACACACACAGAGTAATAAACCAACTTGAAGTAGAATAAACCATTGAATTGCTTAATCTTTCTCTTTATTCTTCTTATTATTCTTATGAACTAAATCACTGATGAAATATCTCTGTACAATTTTTCCTTAAAAATAAAATGATAATTTAACAAATACATTTTTCTAGCAAGGTTATTTTATACACTATTGATGTTAACCGGTAAAGAAATTCCCATTCTTCTATATAAAACACAATGAATATAAATGAGAAGAATATTGATTTCCTATACATAGAGTTTCCCTTTATCACATTTTGTAAAGAGCAAGAACTGAAAGATTCTAACAGAATAACAGGAATTCCTCTTAGTTCGTTTAGTTCTCATTAGCTGCTTACAACCTGTGATATTTAAGAATCGTAATTACTTACATGAAAGAGTTTGATTGGAAGTTATATTGAAGACATATTCGTATAGTATAGCAAGAGTGTAAATAAATTTAATAGATTGAATATTGTAAATATATACCTTATGTGATGAAAGAACATTCTACAACATTGTTGTGACAACAGTTCAAAGGGTTAGAAACAAGTAAACATTGATAGGAATAAAATGAGTAGAGTTCAGTTGATAAAATAAGATTATTAATTTGGAAGATAGTTGAAATAAAACTCAATGATGTGATAAGTGCAAGAAAAAGAAAAAAAAACATATTTAGGTACAGCGAAAGAGTATTTGTAACCAAGGCAAGGAAAGATTAATAACTATCTCCTTTTTTAACACATAAATCAGGCTTTTGGCGCCTGATAGCAACTGCTTCATCAAACTTCAGAAGACTGGAGTTCGGTTGCTTACTAATCACCTTGAATGATTGTAGGGCATCGACCTGATGTCCTGTATCAAGAAGATGTTTGGTGATTGCACTATTTAGAGTCTTTCTTTCTCTTGTTCTGAGGCTTTTTGGAACATGTTCAAAAAATCTGAGATATGCCCTCCTTTCTGTTCGGCCAATGTAGCTGTGCTTTGGCAGGTACATGTAAATTTATAAATACAATTGGCGGTAACATGAAAAGGATGCTTATCACAGGTTGTAAGCAGTTGATGAGAATCAAATGGAATAAAAATGAATTCATGCTATTCTGCTACAATGTTTGTTCTTGTTCTGTCCAATATTCATTTCAATGAATTTCATACATCAGTTACTGTACAATCATCTCATATCCCAAATGAATCATCCATAAAATTGGTCAGGTTGAAGGCATAGTACATCATTTAAAATTGTGTAGCATGTAAATTAAGGATTGTTGTAAAGATTGACTAATATGAAGTTGTTAACTTGAATCAGTTTATAAGTGAAATGAAATTGTGAGATAAATAATGATCAGAATAAATATGGTCAACATAGAGTGAGAGACAGAGAGAGAATAATGAAATAAAAATCAGACATTACGTATGTTGGGGACGTAAGATCCCCCAGAACTCACTTGAGAATGGACCTAATTTCGTAATTTTATTTAGAAAATTTGAATTTCTCTGTTTTCGCGCCAAAGGCGCTATTGTCACCTTCATGTTGTATTTCCCACTTGAGAATTATCTTAAACGCTGTTGGTTCGTTTCGTCTTTCAGTATGTTATTTGGTAACTCTCCCCAAAAATGGTTTTGTACTGTATATATACGTTTTGAATTGTGTTTGTTGTTATCGCTCGTTTCTGGCTGTTTGCAGAATATACTTCCCCATTCCAAGCTTGAACTTCTCCCTCTAGTTAGTGGGGCTGGGACGCATCAATAGCTAGCTTACTGGTTATTGGTCACCGAGTCTTGTTTCTCGTTCTCAGATTAAGTGAACTCGTGTTAGCTTCAATCCAAGCAACGTAACATGTAGAATAATATGAATTAGGTCAGATATAGGAGATAAGGGTGGATGCTGAATAAATTTCTTAAAAAGGTTGTCAAGTTTAATAATAATAACAATGATAAAGATAATAATAATAAGTTTAGGACATAAAAATAAACACTAATCAAATTACATCACCATATTATAACGTTCATTACTAACTAGGAGCGTCTGAACATATTTCTTTTGGATGCAAAGCTCTGGCTTTTTGATCCGAATAGTAATTGCTTCGACCATCTGTAGGATTCTCAGTCTGACGGATTTATGTAGAGTGTTGCTAACACAATATATTATTGCGGTAGATTGCTCCATGTTAGTTGTGTGTCCCGTCTGCATTAAATGGAGCTGTTAACCGTTTTGACTACACCTTTGCTCAACCACGCGAGAAGTGCTTACGAGCCTGAATATACAAATTCCTAGAACATATGCCAATGTAATTTGCTCCACAGGAGAAGTTGAATTGATTGATAAAGAAAAAGGTGGCTAGTCTAGGCGATTTCTCTGTCAACATCGAAGTGATTATCGGACATGTGGAAAACATTAAATGTAGTTTACCTGCATTAAAATTTCTTTGGATTAATCTGCTTCAATTCAGTCTTAATATTTCACTAAGCGCATCGCCTCTGAATTGTGAGCGTATATACAGAGGCTTTTTATTCACAGTTAGGCATTCTCTATTCTCCCTTTTATTGGCTATGTTTTTATTTATAAATTTCTCAGGATATCCATTTTCTTCCAGGGTAGTGTATAATGCCCTTGTTTCATCTTCAACCGTATCTAGGAAGCATACGGTCTTGATTCTATGGTGAAGCGTCTTAATAAGGCTCCTTTTGTATTGCAGAGGAACAAAACTAGGAAAGTTTGTATATTGACCTATCCAAGTGGTTTTCTTATTTTTGTTTCTTTTTAGTGACCCATCTTTTCTCCTTGTAAGTAGAACATCTAGAAAGGCTATTTTACCCCCATTTTCTTTCTCACATGTGAATTTTATGGACGGGTGAGCTGTATTGAATTGCTCGAGTGTTTTTATGAAGTCCGTATACTCGTTACAAAGGATAAACATATCATCCATATATCAGCAGTAAAATGAAAACTTGTCGATCTGTTGTGACAGTGGGCCGTTTTATAGTTTAGAGAGAAAATTGACAACCATCTATTTGTCTATAGATTTCACCATTGAATTTGAAATACAGATTCATAGTACGTTTTAGTAATTCTTTGATGATCTCCACAGGGATTATAGTTTCTACTTCTAGTTCTCCAAGTTGTTCACAAATATATTCTACAGTTTCTCTGAGTCGGACATTTGTGAACAATGACGTTACGTCAAAGGACATCATCGTTTAATCTTTCGTATTTATGTTTTTAATCTTGTCGACGAATTGGAATACATCCTTAACACTATGCTTCACTAGGTGTTTGTGGAGAGGTTTTAAAACGTTTACTAACCACTTGGCTACATTATGATAAGGGGAGACGTACATGTACATAATTGGTCTCCATCGGATATCCAGTTTATTTACCTTCAGTAGTCTGTATAACCTAGGTAAATGCGAAGCTATCGGCTTAATTGTTTCTTATGTGTCTGGTGGAATCATCTGTTGATCTCTGAGCATTTTTTAAAATCTGGTCAGTTCATTGTTTATCTTATTATTAACATTTTTTCGGTTATTCAGTTTCTGACATTTTTGATGATCATTCAAGATGTCATTCATCTTGTCATTGTAGTCCTTTTTGTTAAGTATGACAGTTCTTATCTCTTTACCAGGCTTTATGATAATCATATTGGTATTGGTATTGTTTACTTCAATCTTCCCATTGTTGTTTAGGACTTCAATTGATCTGTCTGTTATAGGCACATGTGCATATTTTGCGTATTGCCTCGATGGATTCCACTGCTGGCAACTATCCATCTTTGCTTAGTTTTCCTAAACATTTTAATGTTTGTCTTTTACTTAGTTTCAAAGGATTAGGGAATTTTTTATTACTCTTAGCACGGTTTCATTCCAGGTTTATTAACTATATCAATAACATCGACTCTTCGTGTTTGTCACCTGTTGTCCTGGGGAAGTTTTTAGTGTATCGTTTTTGATAGCATATTTTGTTGCAGTAGTTAAGATCGTTTCAGGAACTACCTTTCAAATTAGCCGCTTTTAAACTACTCGAAATTGTGGTACAGTTACTGTAAATGCACATCATGGATACCAGTGATGACCACCACTAAAAACTTAGAGAACAGTTTAGAGATTAGTTGGATAGCTTGTTATTACTCTGGCATAGAACTTTCATTCATCTCTCATCTTGATGACCTCAATTCTAAATCTATACAACGCATATTTTTAGAAACTAGTATTTGGTTGTTTTCATGCATCTCTTTAATTGTTGTCATCCGATCCTCTGGCGTAATTTGAGTCAATAAAACTGCAGATAGTCCTTCCTTCGAAAATTGTAGTTGTTTACGTAAAGGGTGAATGAGATTCCTTTTCATAGTTTAGTCCATTGATTAATGCACATCAGATTTCGTCATAAGAACACTTACAATGACTGATTATTGCGAATCAGAAGAAATATGATGCAGAGTGAGCAAGAATTTCCAACTACATTTCCAACTATGTTACAAAAGACTGAATAAAAACTTATTAGGAAATTTATAGTGTTAGAATCCTTGTTATATATCATTAACATATTCATGTAATAATCGATATCTTTGTAAATATTGTAGATGTATGACGTCGAATAGACCCTAACTTAACGTAACTATCGATCGAGTGCTTTCTAGATTCGTAAATTGCTTTTGAGTGATACACCTTCCAATAATTATATACTTATTAGTGACGCGCTCTGAAAAGCATATCCCGATGTTCTAGTAGGAAGCCATAATCGATAGAATCAATGATGTAGATTTTGATTTGTCGAGAATCAACTGAAGTTATAAACTTTTGGATTGTGATCAACTACTTGATAGTTTTCACATTCATTGTGATATTTGATGATTCATAGTGTTTACTATCTAAACGACGTAAAATCAGACAACATATCCGTTTAGTAGATTGAAATCATGAGTCAGTTGAAGCTAGACCACCATGGAAAACCTGGAAGCACTGGACGGCCGTTTCGTCCTAGTATGGGACTCCTCAGCAGTGCGCATCCACGACCCCGCACCACGCGGGGCTCGAACCCAGGACCTACTGGCTTCGCGTGCGAGCACTTAACCATTAGACCACTGAGCCGGCATCCAACGGTGTTAATGTCTAACT